TAGGCTTCATCACTTGTGGGAATCATAAAGCCAGCTCAGCATCCCCCCCCCCCCCCCCCCCCCGATACCACCAGGTGTTGTGAGGTTGTATAGGCTGTTCTCTTGGGCCAATTGTCTGGTAATAGTGTTTATTTATTTGTGTGCTTGTTTGTTGTTAAACGCCACACTCAGAAATATTCCAGCAATATGACGACAGTCTGTGAATAATCAAGTCTGGATCAGACAATCCAGTGATTGACATCATGAGCATCAATCCATACAATTTATCACCCTGGGGACACCAAGAATGGTCTTCACACACTGTTCCCATATTGGAGAATCAAACCCAGGAGTTGAGTGTAATTGTAACCACAGGGCTACCCCACTGCCCCCTGGGAATGGAAGGATAATGTCTTTTACGAACTGAACAATGATACACTGTTTCTTCCTACAGATCACATGATCAAGTCTATTCAGATTCAAGGTTTATATTCCTACATGGCGATAAATCTGAAAATCAGGAAATTGTGTGTAGTTATGCAATGTCAACAGATTCTTATCACACGACCCGAGGCTTATCATCATCGTGTGACTGCACAGTAGATGAGGTCCGACTGATCTGATAGCCACAGCAATTACCTGAAGCTCAACGTCTAGATGGTATCTGTCACATGTGACATAATACCTCGTTCGTGAGGTCACCTTGTTCTCCAACACAATCTGTGTCGTAGTAAGTCACTAGCGGCTACCTGCATAGGCATACCTTGTCAGTCAGACTGTCACTAAAATAGATGGTTGCGTCTCGTCTTTTCAGGAAATGATTTATTTGTAATTAAGACCTTACCGTCCTACAGTATTCTACAGCCACATCTAATACACTGTTCACTCTTTTCCTCCAGTCTGATGTATTCCGGCCACTATTTCACTTGTGACTCAATTGCCAGGCTGACAATCATTACGTATTCTGCTTGTGATTCACGGGCTAGTTGTGTATTGTAACAACCTCCACATGAATTATTGCTCACACAGCTGATCACATGCTGGTGCTGAAACATCATTTGCATCCCAGTGAAGATTCAGAATTTGCAGCATCAGCAACGCCTCCAACAGCTGCTACAGTAACACCTACAACTAAGATTAGCCCCTGCTTCTACATTTGTAGAGAATGTTAACCTAATGATGTTGTGAGTGTTGTTACTTTTCAACTTCTACACATACACATGCTAATGATTTTATATCGAGCGCTATCTTTGTGTGGTGCTGTAACACATGCATTCCATATGGAAATATAAGTTGTTGAGTTAACCTGACCGGCATGTTATCTTCCAGCCAGATAAGATGGTGTGACGTCACGTGTCCCATATCAACAGGTGGCAATAACACTTAGAACCCAATTCCCGGGGAATATGGTGCACTTATTCAACAGACAGTTAAACAGTGTAGGAAAACCCTTTCAAGTCTTTGGAGAAAGATTTTAAATACATCTGAGAGAGAGCAGGGTCTATGTTATTCAACACTTGTAGTGCCACACAGTTTAACAGTGTAGGAAAACCCTTTCAAATCATTGCAGAAAGATTTTAAATACATCTGAGAGAGAGCAGGGTCTATGTTATTTAACCCTTGTAGTGCCACACATTTTAACAGTGTAGCAAAACCCTTTCAAATCATTGCAGAAAGATTTTAAATACATCTGAGAGAGAGCAGGGTCTATGTTATTCAACACTTGCAGTGATATCTGATATAAATCATTGTGACAGAGTATAAGGAAAACCAGCCAACAGGAACACAAAGTGTTCCAGCGGAGGAAGTCTCTGTCATGAACATAGGTCATTAAGGCAGCATTATCACTGAGTCATATGAACAACTCTATGTCTGGCACGGTTGCAGCCTTGCTCCAAGGCTCTACTGAAAGAAAAGATGGATGTGTAGTAATTCTATCCACCTAATAGGCAAGTCTAGACATGTGGACAGTACTCAAGTCTCTAATAGAGACAACTTGTTCTTATTATTTACATAATCTTATGAACTTATGATCTAAACTAATAGTTATTCCCTTAGGGACATGTGCAAGTCTAGCACAGTTGGGATAGGCAGTTTTACAATGTCAAAATGTCATATTCAGTCAGGTCTGATAAGGGCGACACTGTTTGAATGATTCTCTTCCTTCTAAACAACAGTCACCTCGGACTCTGGTAAGTGAAACTCCCCAAACCTTTCAAGACATAATTTCAGTTTCAAAGTTTTAATTCAGAATTTCACAGATATTTTGATTAATTTTTTTATGGGTGTATTGCGAACGTGTGTACCTCACATTGCACTTCACTCTCGTTAGGACCCCTTACATCAATTGAACATCAATATTTCATTAGCCTAATTAAACCTCGCAGATAAAACTATTGATCAGTCATTTCACTGATTTGGGAACAAAGATTCACCTCCCTTGTAATCCCAAGTCATTAACATGGAAACATTGTTACAAGATTCTCGGGACAATAGATTGTGTGATTATTGTTCCCCGTTGTTGCTGCAATCTTTCCCAGGTAGCACAAGGGCCCTCACGTGTCCGCTCATGTTCACATGCTTCTCAGTCTGTGCTGGACAATAACAAGCCAGCCACTCGTAATCCCCAACAGTAATTATCAATTATTCCCACAAGCTGACGTTTCACTGCAAAAGACTAAGCATCAGCTCGATCAGACCTTAATACACAGGATTAGCTGACTGGCAGTGTGATGAAGGGAGTATTGTTGAAACTTCACATAACACAGTTTGAGATACGCATTATTATGAGTTGAGTGAGTGAGTGGGTCAGACGAGGTAGAGGGTGGGTGGATGTTTGCTTGGTTGGTTGGATGGTTGGTTGGTTGAGTGAGTGGTTGAGTGAGGGAGGGAGGGAGGGAGGGAGGAAGGAAGGAAAGGAGGGAGGCAGAGAGTGAGTGAGTGAGTGAGTGGGAGGGAGGGAGGAAAGGAGGGAGGCAGAGAGTGAGTGAGTGAGTGAGAGTGGGAGGGAGGGAGGAAAGGAGGAAGGCAGAGAGTGAGTGAGTGGATAGTGGGCAATAATACAGTTATGCCACATCAGTTGTTGTAATCACTATTCACTTGACCACAGCCCCGTCGGTCCACACTTGATGTATTCTGCCTCAGATGATAGTAATCATTCACTGTTTGTCTATTGGGGAATATATGAATATTTTCCTCCATCCTATTCATGTTTTTCAATGCAAAGAGAGAACAGAATATTCTGGCATCAGTAAAATTCTGCATACAACCCACTGATTTATTTGCCTTATTCCATCTCCATCTTATTTCATTGCCACTTCCCAGATACGCTTGGCAATTGATTAATACTAGATTAAAAAGTCAAAGCTAGTTCAGTAAGCATTGATTATCACTTGCTTTGACTTTTTGTCGGCTAATGTTGTAACAATAGAGTCTCCTGCAACATCCCTTCCTTCCCATTAGCACCAAACCTGTTATTATTCAGAATCTTTCTGGAAGAAAATAGTCAGCCCTCTACCATCTAACCTCTAATGTCATATTGATCAATTTTCCACCAATCAATAGCCATTAACTATTTGAGATACACTGACTTCCATTTCAGCTTGAACGTTCTCCCATGATCATTGATGCTGAACCCTATCTGGAATCTAACATATGCCATCTACGTCAATTAGGTCGTGTTCGGACACACTTGATTACACTACAAATAGCTGATCCAATGCACATCTAACAAATTCCAGTAGGATTTAGTACTGCCTGATACCTTTGCCTCCTCTCCACTGAACTGCATGAGTTTCTGGGACAAGTGCAGCATTACATAAAGTCTTCAAACAGCCTTGTAATTACTGGTATGGTCCATAAACTTTCAGTGACTGCATTATAAATTTCATTATGGCACGGAAGTGTGTATGTTGGATCCAAATGGTCCCTGAAAGACTTTTAAGGCTGAAATTGTAAACACTTGTTTTTGACACCGTTAATTACATTGGATGTATGTTACTATGGAAACGAGGAAACTGCTGTCACCTTGTGAGACTTCCCATAGACTGGTCGGTTGGTTCATTAGCAAGTTATTAAGAATGTCAATGTGGATGTGTTCTGGTGGGAAGGGCAGGATATCCCCTCCTGTACTGCAAGTAGAAAGGATATCCCTACTGTTTCCCTTCATGTTATTGTTACCCAGGCAGTGTTCGACATAAGCATCTGTCCTTAGGCCCGTGGCAGGTAGGTCTTGTGTTGGGTCCGTAAGTTTCAAATTCGTATGGCCTGCAGTAAGTTTTTGTGTTTATTTATATGTCACAATAAGCTGCAGGTTTTATAAAGAGGTCCTGAAGTGTTAAGTCAGGGCCTACATCTTCTAATGTCTCTGGGCCCTCATGTCAGCCTGGGGGGCGGTCGGGTAGCCTAGTGGTTAAAAGCGTTAGCTCGTCACGCCGAAGACCCGGGTTCGATTCCCGACATGGGTACAATGTGTGAAGCCCATTTCTGGTGTCCCCCACCATGATATTGCTGGAATATTGCTAAAAGCGGCGTAAAACCTCACTCACTCACTCATGGCAGCCTGGCAATTTCTTTTTTTCAAACGCTACTCAGGTCAGTGTTTAAGTGTGTGAGTGAGTATGGTCGGATTTTAGCAAGATTCCAGCAACACCACCAGAATGGGATCAACACATTGCACCCTGGTTGGAACAAGAACCCTGGTATCGAATGAGCGCATTAACCACTAAGCTGTTTAAAAGTTCTTAGTAAACATTAATGATTGTTTTTAAGCATTTTCTTCATAGTTCATATTGCCATGTTTGTCAAGACATTCTGGTCTGGTATGGGAGACATGATCCCTTTACACAGGTGATGGCCTGTAACAGCCTATTAATGCCAGGGTCTGGACTAACAAGGTGTCACTATCAATGGTTTGAGTTTTCCAGTTACTTATTGAAGCCACATTGGCCAGGTTTTGACAACTGTTATGTTACATCTTGCTCATGCAAATCTTGAAATTAATTTTCTGTATTTGTTTCCAGGAATGGGTGGCCGAGGCGAATCCTGTCCCAGCCAGTCGCCGCTGAAAACGTGCATGCATCCCTCATCCTGACACAACAACCTTCTCACCATCTTTGCAACATCATCAGCACTAACTCATCATGACGTCGTTTGCTGCAGCAGTGTTGTCTGTGTGTGTCATCCTCACTGCCACAGCAGACATGATGGTCCAGGCAGAATGTCGCACCAAGCACCTGCCCACTGGTTCTGAAGTCAACTGCAGTGGAAGCGACTTGGCATATGTACCCTGGGACCTCCACAGTAACATCAAAGTACTTGATCTCAGCAACAACAAACTCACACAGCTCAGTAGTGGGGATTTCAATAAATATACATCACTTGAAAGGCTCTACTTGAGGAACAATCAAATCAGTGAACTTGATAATGAGACTTTCTCAAAGTTAATAAGACTGAAAAATCTGGATCTGTCAAGTAATCAGTTTGCCAGAGTTCCAGTAGAAGCCTTGAACCTGCCAGAGCTCTCCCTTCTTTCTTTGCAAGGGAATAGACTAACTCGCATTGAAAACAAAGCTTTCGCTGGATTACAACTACTAAAAATACTGCATCTGGATGGAAATCACATAAACTCCATCCAGAAAGATGCCTTTGAGGGTCTGCAGTACCTCCAGATTCTGGAGCTCCAGAACAATGCCCTGCAGGATCTCCCCGAGGGAGTCCTGAGACACTGCTCCAGCAACCTCCTCACCCTCAGACTCTACCACAACCCTTGGTTCTGTGACTGCAGAATCCACTGGCTGAAACAGTGGTTCCAGAACAACACAGGAGTGCAGTGGGAGTTCCCCCAGTTCAAACCGCAGTGCGACGGACCAGCGTTTATCAGACAGATGCCATTCTCACAGGTTTCCTTGAACAACTTTGCTTGTCCGCCTGAGATGTACTCAAGTTCTGATAAAATGGTGCTCCAGCCTGGCAGCTCCCCGAAACTCCTGTGTAAATTCTTTTCCATGCCAGAGACTAGGCCCAGATGGTTCAAAAACAAAGACTTGATCCGAGAAGATACGGAAAAGTATGACATAAATGAACATGGTGTTTATGAGAAAACAAGTGTTTTGGAAGTGACAGACTTTCAGGAGGAGGACATTGCATTGTACACCTGTGAGGTGGAAAACACCAGGGGATCCAACTCCATCGAGTTCATCATTACCCTGGAAGGTATTGACTTCGCGTCCCTGTTCACATCACCCAAGCCGGAGCCTCTCGGGGCAGGTGTGGATATGAAAAATGTTGTAATATCTGTCAGCATTGTCTGTGGTCTCATTTTGCTGACAGTGTCCATCATTCTTATTGTGTGTTTGACAAGTAGATACAGGCGCCAAAAGGCGATTAAGAAAGAAGAAATTGCAAAAGAGATAAAGGATCACTTCCTTACCAATGGAGACCTGTCGATGAAGTCACTTGACCACCTTGATGATGTATCTCTGACCAACAGCAACCACGATTCCAACACTACGAAAGAGAAGCTGTCAGAACATGACGACAGCAACCTCCTCCATACATCGCTCTCAAACATCTGCCGCCCCTCATCCCCGACTGGTCACACGTACTTGTCATTTGACAGTGAACTCACGGACAACGATGAGCTGACACAGATCTACTCCGCCATCCGTAGCCCGAAACGAGAGGGTTCTCACACAGAGTCCACAACTCCATTATTAGAGCATTATGCACCATCATCAGTTTTCGATTCCAGAGAACCATTGGATAATTCATCTCGTCTCCAGTCGTTTTCCAGTGTCCCAAGAAACGGAACCAACTACTGGTCCAACAATAACCTGCCACGTACCCCGGGAAGCATGAGGTCCAATACAATCTATAATGATCCTAGTTACCTATATGGGACGAATCCCTATCCCCGGAACTACCGAGACTATGGGGATTACCGGGATTACCGCTATCCCACCCCCCCACCTCAAATGCAGAGGATACATTCAACAAAGAAAAGTGCATCTGTTGGTAATCTCGGACTTCCGCAGAGGACACCAGCGCCACGGAAACCTCCACGCGTGAATCGTTCGGGCGAACGGATGAGTGACAGTGTGGATGACACAAACAGTGAAATCGGAAGGACGATGACAAATTCCAGTTTCAATGGCATTACGCCAGGAACCCCTGTGTGAGATGAAGTGCTTATGTGTTGTGTCTTTTCATTGGATCATATCATCATTGTGCGTATTCCTCCATTGTGGAGATGGCAGACAATGCTCATTGTGCATCTTTCAAGAACCTCTATTACCATGGTAAAGACAAACACAAGGAATATCAGTAACCATGGTAACGGAATACCCCAGGTTTATCCATAACCATGGAAACAAAAATTGCAACAATACTCCATCGCTAAGCATAGTGAATGAAGTGATCTAGTGCAGACAGTTTCTAGTCTTGGAGTTTCCGTATAAAAAATGGAATAAATTCTGTATTGTATCAATGTGGATTGAGACATGTTGCGCTGTGATGACGGTGGGGTTGACGCCACTGTCGGTGTGGACAGTATTTATTGCTTCTCTGGTAGGCTGGTAGGTGCTGACCTGGTCTCATGAGATCTCATGAGATCCCACAAGCTCACTGAGACATGGAATCCCATATGCTCATTGTACATACATATACTGGATGTAATTCATAACCAACGCAGAAGCCACTAATTACTATGGACACCTGTTTACTTATACCCTGCATCATTTGTACATAGAAACATTTTACATCGACAACACCCAGGCAGAGTTGTCTCCCCTGCTTGACCGCATTGGATTTCTAGCTATACACAGAGTTGTCTCCCTTGTGACCCCGACTGTTAGCTGTGAGTGGTTGTATCAGAAGTTTTATAAGCATTATCAATAACTTCAGCTTGTATTACAGAGGTTTGTAGGCTGGCTTGTTCCTGGAGAAGTATTATACACTGTTTCCCTTGCTGATTATTTCAGGGGCATTGTGGCCCCCTGAACTTTGTCCACACTGTACAAAACTGTTCCATGAAACTGTTTACAAGGTTAGATTTGTTGAAGTGTACAGAACTGTTGTAATTTATTTCCTTGTCAATTGGTATTTACCTCAAATATGTGTGTTCTTTCAATGAAATTTAAGCCTTGAAATCGACGACTGAAGTCTTTATTTTACCTGGTTGTCACAGCAATGGCAGATATATACTGGCACCACAGGCAGGATGTTATCGCAAATATTACAGACTATTGTTAATTACCATTTGTTTTAATATGGTGTGAATGAGAAAGTCAGTGAAAATGCTGTTGCCTATTTGATGACCTCTTGTACCAAACAAGGTGTACTTCTTTGTTTGTGGATGTTCAAGGCTAAACTTGATCAGTGATCAGGATTTAAACAGGTGAACTACAGAATTAAATATTAATGATGATGATAATATATAATCACAATTCAGGGATCTGTTTTGAAAATGTCAGTTCATCAGGATGTTTTGAAACAACCTTTTGAAACAAACAGTTATGGGCTTGAAATTAGCCATCTTTCACATCAAGCATCTTTCATTTTGAAAACTACAAAAATACATGTATAGACTAGCCTGACATCTACAAACAAGATTATTTCGGCCGAGATTGCTAGTTTCTGTTACTAACTGTTGTAAAATATTCCTCCTTCAATTCTGTACAGTCACAACCTGTTACAGTTGTGTGTATTGACTCAGCAATTCTCAACATCAAGGAGATACTATTCAATTTCTCTTCACATTTTATACACATCAGAAAACAGTACTACGGTTTACATGTGCACCTTCAACATTTCCCAGCATGCAGTCCTCCTGGAACACACATGCTGCAGCGCCGCCTAGCTTTGTTTTCCTCCACAGGAAATGTCAGCGCTATCCATCCCTTATTTCAGGCTATTAACCGGCTTCATCATCGCATTACGATTCTGAACAGACCTATTACAAACGTGATGTAGTGATCGTGTTTACTGGAGCCAAAATGTACACATCTCTGCCAAACTAACCCAGTCAAAGCCAGTTCAGTCGCAGGCAGTGACCATAACAAGTCTTTCCTGAGGCTGTTTTTCTCCATAAGGATGGAACAAGTTCTGCAATACAAACAAATAAATGATTCCCATTTACATTAGGTCATGTAGGGAACAAATAAGGAGCAAGATTAAATATTATTTTGTAATAAAAATCCCAAGTCCTAACTCAGATTATTTAGGATACAACCCAAACTTTAATGAATGAAATATCGAAAAGGTAGATATATCTCATGTTGTTACACTTGTTTGATTTTTATCCCAAACATCTGTCTGATCATAATTACAAGTGTAAGTATGTATTGTAACAACTTTTTTCAAAGGTATTCAAAATGTCAGTGCTTCACATTCAGGACACCACTAACTGATGCATTATGGGACACTATGTATGACCAACCATAAGATAAGGGAACTTAGGGGTGAAAAATCATTTTGACTTTTCTTTATATTTTTAAAACTACATCATCTTCAGAACACAAAAATACAATTCACAAACTTCAATTCATATTTATTACAGAGGTGCATGGCATCAAACATGGCGATCTTCACTGAAGTAAGTTGCCGTCAAACTTCTTTATGACGTCACAGCACAATTGCATCCTAACACCCATAAGATCCCTTTGCTCCTGGTGGGTCTCATCTATCGTCAAACAAGGGTTATGACACAATAGTCAGAGAAACACTGGAAGTTACTAGGAGGTAGATATGGCATGATTACATCTGATAACCTGTGTGACAGACACCCAGCCACATTGTCACAACACTAGTGTCCCACTGCCTTTGACAGTATGTATATCAGCCTTACTTCACCAAGCTTTAATCAGGTGATATCAGGTGTGTATTCACTGTCTCATCATCATCACGTTGTTTCCACTGACTGACATATCTACCCCGTCACATATCTAGATTACCCACAATGCCCTTCTTTATTTTGTCGTATTTTCCTTCACTGTTTGTCTAATGCTGTTGCAAAGTTGTATAGACATGTCTGGATTAGCAACTAAATTATTTGCTTAATTGTCTTAATTATACCATAGGTCTTTTTTCATAGTGGATGAGCAATTTTTTATTTATGGATCTCCAAAAGTAAAAGACGTCCTCTCTAAGGAACGTCGTCTTTGAGTCTAGGTGTCAGGTACCTTTAACATTGGATATAAGAGAAGTTTAAGTCATAACAGTGCAACCAACTGGCTGTATCCATCTAAAACTTAAACAAGACATTGGGGATGCTTTCAGATTTAGTATCACTGCCTTTGATTTTCAAATGAGAAGGCACATTGAATGTGAATTTTTCTCCTTAATTAGAAAAAGCAGTCCATATTGTCATAGTTTGATTCCTGAATGCCAGCTTCTGATTGGCTACCTGCTCCTGTCAATCAATGTGCTATGTATGGTCTATTTTGTTTAGTTGCACCAATCACTGTGTCTGATTTTGGTTGCTGCTTGCTTATTTATTTGTTTTGAGTTGTTGTGAAGCAGTTCAGAGGGGACTACATAGGTTCAGTTGTGTCAATGGAAAAATAAAATATGAAATAATAATGCGTCTTTGTTGTGTGTAACATCAACACTCACCACTGAAGTCAGGGGAGTACGTGAATGTTGTTTTAAGACACAATCAGCAATATCATAGCCATCTGTCAACAATCAAGTCTCGATTTAACAAGGGATTGATGCTCTCTCTCTCGCTCTCTCTCTCTCTCACACACATTGCCATTATACTGTCTGACTTCACAACATAACACAGCATCCGCATGCTATATCATGATCAGCGTAAGACTGTACCCCGGTAATGCTAGCACACTGTCTCATGACTAGTGACATACACAGGCCACGAACCAATGCCGTAGCCCTTCTTCATAGTTCTTCCAAGTCACGAGAATTTCTAAGCTCTAATTCTTCTGTTATTCCACACATTTATGTCTGATTTTATCTCAACATTGTCAGTCAATCTCAACCCAGATCAGAAAAGTCACTTAGCCAGGTCAACCAAACAAACCAAAGTAAGGGGCAGTTCAACAGCGCATGTAAAAGTTTCTGACTATTCACCTCCTGACTACTGAACCTCTAGCGTTAGTGTTATATGCCTTGACTTCACAAGGAGGAAAGGTTCTATTGAAAAATAAAAAATTACAACTATTTTAAAGAAATGTTTTCCTAGACGAAGTGTTAGTCTATCTCGCCCACAACACTGCTACCTGTTGACTCTAGCACACACAGAAAAGAAGTGAGGTTTTCCGCCTTCACACACAGAAGAGCTGTAAACTGCTAAGTGCTACTTTGAATCATATACCCGGTAGTTGACAGTTAAAGGGGACCCCAGTTAAAAATCTGAAAGTTAAGTATGGTGTGATTGCAGCCAAAACACAGGACTTATGGCAATGATGTAATAGAGGTAGAGTACTCGCAAGAATTGAAATAATTACTATAATTTCAAAGAAATGTTTTCAAAGATTAAGTGTCAGTCTTTCTTGCCCACAACACTGCTGCATGTCTCCACAGCGAAACCACGTGTGAAGGGATTTGAGACATCGGACAAACATTCACTGATGGTTCTACAAGACTGAACATTGTTTGGCACAGCTTTCAGCAGAGTTTGGTACTTAGCCTACTGACAGCATAACATTATGTCACAAGTCTGCTAAACATACAAGTGGGTAGGACTTAAGCCTCTTGACTCTGAATACCCTACAGCACTTATTCTGCCTTTCTCTCGGTTAATCATGGTAATCTTAATAAACTTAAATATTTCTGTGGCAGTGAAGTCATATTTTAGTGTTGGTATTCAGAAGTTTTGTAATGATACATGATTGATATGCCAAACTTATGGCTACATCGATATTGCTACATATGACATCCCACCACATCACCTAACGGGATCGGGTGGTCAGGCTCGCTGACTTGGTTGATGCACGTCCTCGTATTCTATTTGCGTGGATCGATGCTCATGATGATAAACACAGGATTGTCTGGTCCAGACTTGATTATTTACACACCGCTGTCATACAGCTGGAATATTGCTGAGTGTGGCATTAAACAACAAACAAATGACAGCCTGGTAACATACAAGAATATCAAGAACATGTTGCTTATATGACTCTACATTACGACATAAAGTTGTTGAGTGTGTGTGTGTGTGTGATCGCATGATAAGACACACGGTATGTTGATCCCCTCACAGCCCTGTCTGTGTGATGTTACACAATGTAGGTGATGTGTCGGGGTCAGTGACCGGTGAGTCAAACCCTCCAGCAGCTTGGAGATAAGTCATGCTGGCTACCTGTCTGTGCCATCAGATGAGAGTGTCATGAAGGTGTTGCATGTTGTCATGGAGCTTACTTCATAACATTGCACACTTCTAACATTCATTAACACTTCTATACATACCGGCAAAAGAAGCATGTAGACGAGAGTTAATATAAAAAAATAATGTGGGGGTATTTGCCAGAGATTATTTAGCAATGGAAACCATGTGGCCACCTGCCTCAGGTGCGTGATAATTCTTGCATCGTTATTAAAAAGATTTGGCGATGCTGCTCTAGAACACTGCATGAACAACAATCAATGCTGTTTGGGTACGGGTGTGTGGGTGAGTGAGTATAGTTTTATGCCACTTTTATCAATATTCCAGCAATATCATGGCGGGGACAGCAGAAAAGGGCTTCACAAATTAGACCCATGTGGGAAACTGAAGCAGGGCTTTAGGCATGATGAGTGAACACTTGAACCACTAGGCTACCCCTCTGCCCTTTGTTTGGGTACAATGACACACAAGCCCCCTTTGTGAGCACCTTTCCTCTTTTTAGTCATCTGACGACAAGCGCTGGATGCTGTGAAACTACCCAGGTCCCCAGCAATTTTTTAATTCTTGATAAGTATCGATCATAGTCGCACACTAAGCAAACAAAGAATATCAAATCATATTAAATATTTGCTTTCATAAATTTTACACCAAACACAAATTAGCAGTGAAAATAAGTAGTGAAAACATAAATATTTTCATCCACCGTGCCCTACTTGACACGGCCAACTGTGAGTCATCAGTGTGCCCGGTATTTGGCAGTCCTGCCTTGGAAACAGAAGGCTAAGTAACCAGGGATAAGAGCACATGCAAGTACCGTGATACGTATCGGATCATGTGCCAGGTATTTGGCAGTCCTGCCTTGGAAACAGAAGGCCAAGTAACCAGGGATAAGAGCACATGCAAGTACCGTGATACGTATCGGATCATGTGCCAGGTATTTGGCAGTCCTGCCTTGGAAACAGAAGGCCAAGTAACCAGGGATAAGAGCACATGCAAGTACCGTGATACGTATCGGATCATGTGCCAGGTATTTGGCAGTCCTGCCTTGGAAACAGAAGGCTAAGTAACCAGGGATAAGAGCACATGCAAGTACCGTGATACGTATCGGATCATGTGCCAGGTATTTGGCAGTCCTGCCTTGGAAACAGAAGGCCAAGTAACCAGGGATAAGAGCACATGCAAGTACCGTGATAAGTATCAGATCATGTGCAAGGTATTGTGATAAGTATCAGATCATGTGCAAGGTATTGTGATACGTATCAGATCATGTGCAAGGTATTGTGATACGTATCAGATCATTTGCAAGGTATTGTGATACGTATCAGATCATGTGCAAGGTTTTGTGATACGTATCAGATCATGTGCAAGGTATTGTGATACATATCAGATCATGTGCAAGGTATTGTGATACGTATCAGATCATGTGCAAGTACCGTGATAAGTATCAGATCATGTGCAAGGTATTGTGATACGTATCATATCATGTGCAAGGTATTGTGATACGTATCAGATCATGTGCAAGGTATTGTGATACGTATCAGATCATGTGCAAGTACCGTGATACGTATCAGATCATGTGCAAGGTATTGTGATACGTATCAGATCATGTGCAAGGTATTGTGATACGTATCAGATCATGTGCAAGGTATTGTGATACGTATCAGATCATGTGCAAGGTATTGTGATACGTATCAGATCATGTGCCAGGTATTTGGCAGTCCTGCCTTGGAAACAGAAGGCCAAGTAACCAGGGATAAGAGCACATGCAAGTACCGTGATACGTATCGGATCATGTGCCCGGTATTTGGCAGTCCTGCCTTGGAAACAGAAGGCTAAGTAACCAGGGATAAGAGCACATGCAAGTACCGTGATACGTATCGGATCATGTGCCAGGTATTTGGCAGTCCTGCCTTGGAAACAGAAGGCTAAGTAACCAGGGATAAGAGCACATGCAAGTACCGTGATACGTATCGGATCATGTGCCAGGTATTTGGCAGTCCTGCCTTGGAAACAGAAGGCCAAGTAACCAGGGATAAGAGCACATGCAAGTACCGTGATAAGTATCAGATCATGTGCAAGGTATTGTGATAAGTATCAGATCATGTGCAAGGTATTGTGATACGTATCAGATCATGTGCAAGGTATTGTGATACGTATCAGATCATTTGCAAGGTATTGTGATACGTATCAGATCATGTGCAAGGTTTTGTGATACGTATCAGATCATGTGCAAGGTATTGTGATACGTATCAGATCATGTGCAAGGTATTGTGATACGTATCAGATCATGTGCAAGTACCGTGATAAGTATCAGATCATGTGCAAGGTATTGTGATACGTATCATATCATGTGCAAGGTATTGTGATACGTATCAGATCATGTGCAAGGTATTGTGATACGTATCAGATCATGTGCAAGTACCGTGATACGTATCAGATCATGTGCAAGGTATTGTGATACGTATCAGATCATGTGCAAGGTATTGTGATACGTATCAGATCATGTGCAAGGTATTGTGATACGTATCAGATCATGTGCAAGGTATTGTGATACGTATCAGATCATGGGCAAGGTATTGTGATACGTATCAGATCATGTGCAAGGTATTTTGATACGTATCAGATCATGTGCAAGGTATTGTGATACGTATCAGATCATGTGCAAGTACCGTGATACGTATCAGATCATGTGCAAGGTATTGTGATACGTATCAGATCATGTGCAAGGTATTGTGATACGTATCAGATCATGTGCAAGTACCGTGATACGTATCAGATCATGTGCAAGGTATTGTGATACGTATCAGATCATGTGCAAGTACCGTGATACGTATCAGATCATGTGCAAGGTATTGTGATACGTATCAGATCATGTGCAAGTACCGTGATACGTATCAGATCACACAGTTCGTGTATCGTCCTAGACCTAACAAGCAAGGGAAGTTGTGGACAGAATCTCCCAGGCTCCATGAGTGCAACAATACACAGGCTCATCAATATCTGGATTACACAATACCTACTACCACACGAACACTGGCAACTTGTCACTGGAACTCCCTATAGTTACAAGTCCATGGGACTCTCAGTTACACATTTCAGGGTCCAGGCATCAACATGGCGGTCCCAGCATGACCAGTCTACCAACAACAAACAAACTACAAATGATGTGTGATCCGTAATTCCGTATGCTTATTACTGACATGGACTTCCTGGTGATTGAGTAGAGAAAATCAGACACAGTCGTTCCATTGATCGAATTTCATATCCGAACAGAAATCTAGGCTAAATTTAACGTACTTGATTCCATTTAATTAGTTCAATCATTTAACATCCATTCACTTTGGATCGAGTTCTTCATTTCTTCATTTTTATATGTATCAGAGGCAATATTTTGCAACTGGTAAAGCCTGCATTGAAGTAGGAATGACAATTTAGAATTTCTATTAGTATATAATAAGTAGATATATATATATATGTGCTCTTTTGCAAACTTGCTAACATTTGCACTAGAATGCTGTTATGTAGAACCTGACTCTCACACAGATACAAACATGATACTATCCACTAATTACATCGAAGTATGAAGGATGGGGGCTGTGTATGAAGCTAGTTACCATGGTTACCTTGCAACAACCCACAGAGCTAGCCATGTCACATGATCATCGCCAACTAACAGTAGACTATAACACAAGATCTGGCAAAACACATGCAGAACCTAAACCCCTGCAGGTGTAATTCTACCAAAAAAGATAACTTGAGAGACAAATTGCCTAGGAATGTCTTTTTGATGGGCTCCTATTTCAGTCGTAAAGGAGCAATTTGGACATGGCTCGATTTGCTTTTTATGGCAACATTGACAGATTATTGTCAGTGAGAACGTCACGAAGTACAGCAGGCAATGGGTTGTTAAAGCTGTAACCAGGAAACACTGCTGACTAAACTTCAGTCAATCTGACAGCAGAACAGTCATTTCAGGTAAAGGATGTATATTTTACGAGTGCTTCTATCAACATGAGCTCTTTATGTTTTGACCTGTGTACAAAACTGTACTATCTACCAAAGTTACATGAACAGAAATCAAAATGACATTGACTGTGTTGGAATAATTGTTCAAAGGATAGATAAGATTATAAAATTGGCTGAGATTATCCAGAACAGATTTCAATTCCACATCAATAAACAGATGAAACACGTGCCACGCTGACTTCAGACACGTGTTAATGTGAGAGAGTGAGTGTTGTTTAATGCCATAGTCATCAAATCCACCCTGTCATACTGTCAATACTTCATGGGATGGTATTTAGTACACTCATGCTGGCATGGCCCGTACAGCATGATGACACGTAGCCAGCCGAGTCAATCTCATTACAATGAGATCATAGTTCTCACCGCAAATCAAAGATCTGAGAACATCCATTACAGGTCACATCAGAACAACCTTTTGTGAACATTGACTGACCAATGAAATGACAAACAGGAGGCCGACATTAGCCAATCAGAAAGCAGCTTTCTCTAGCTATATCGCAATAGTTTCCTTTCCAGACTACTATGTAAAGTTTCCAAAAACATTTTCACAAAATTCTCGATTCTAACTTTGAAAACTGTCCAAAAGAAAATTCTGGAATGTCTAATAGATGACCAATATTGTTTAGCAGTACTTCATATGCGCTGTGGAAAGTCTCATTTCAAATGTGTATCCCACAGAAGCGAGAGATATACAATGATTTGGACAGAATCAGTTGTACAGCCCATAACTCTTCAGAAATACCGTACCCCTTGTAAACCTGGTCTTCAGGAACACCCCGTGTAAACCTGGTCTTCAGAAATACCCTGTGTAAACCTGGTCTTCAGAAATGCCCCGTGTAAACCTGGTCTGAGATTGCCAGTCAAGTCAGTAAGAACACAATGTTCAGTAAACAGGAAAAAAGTTATTTATCACAGCATCAGAATATAAGGCTGGAAGATGATATATCATAGATATGTCATGTCCACTATCATGTTGATAATCAATGGTGAGGACCCATAGCTGAAAAAAGCATTGATAGCCACAAATAATATTTGTTTTGCTCATTGTAGAAATCGGTTTGCCTGACCGGTTGAACACAGAAACAACAGCTGGCTCTTCAGCGACTTCAGGTTCAAGTTGTATGTCGAGTACCTGATCTTTTAATGTGAATAAATGTCACAGTTTGTGTTTTGGGTAAAATATCAGATGTAAGCTGCTTTGATGCTTGTGTATGAGAACAGAGAATATTTCTGTTAAACTCCTTCATTCAGTGGAAGATTGTTTCCATAAAATCTGAAAACATTTAAATCATTGTATATCATAGCACCATCATAAATACTTCGGCTGGAAGAAAAGCCATGCCCATCACATGCATGGAACAAGCTGCCAGGAGTTATCTCCCTTTAGAGCAGTGAAAACACGTTCCTCACAGCAATAGCCTGTTCGCGGAGCTCTCTATACCATCGCTGCCACCAAAGCTTCCCCACTGTGATAGGTGACGAAAACCATTCTTGGAGTTGAACTCGCAACCGAATGACCATTATGTTTACAAACAAGTGATGACTGTCATGACTGACGCCTTAAATTATTTTCTTTGTTTGTCAATTTGAATTTCTATTCTGTTTCAACTATCATGTAATTGGTATAGTAAGAATTTAAGGGGGAAGTTGCATGATTTTCCGTTAGTCTGCAATCTCGAAGTAATCCGATCAAATAAACAAGAAGGTAAATTTATCGGGGAAATATGGTCATTCGGAAACCTTTTCAAATTAACTGTGATGACATTCCCAAAGAAATAAACAAAAGTATAAACGTTACTACATTTGGGGATAGAGGGCAAATTTCAAGATTTTTCGAATGTCTGCACACACTGGTGGCAACGATGTTACCGAGCGTGTAACGAAGGTGACCCACGCTGGGGAGGAGCTCGCAGTGAAAGCAGGGTCCTACCTTCTGGATAATGTGGTCGAAGTTGATACCAAGCTCTGAAAAATAAAAAAATGCATCAGTACACTAAGCAACACTTTAAACATGTGAACTATTGACAAATACAGCTACCAAGGATACATCTGTGTGGTGTGCTGTACTGTAGGTTGATAGAAGAGGCAGTAAAAGAATGAGTGGTCGAGTGGGTGAGTGAGTGAATAAGGTTTTCTGCCACTTTTAATTACATATTTGTACCTGCTTTGGTTGCACATTTATCCACACCACCCTTGTACAAACAGACCAGAGTATTATCACCCACAGGGGTCCAAGCCTAATTTTACCGGTAAAAAACTGGTAATTCGATTGGATGGTTATTGGTCATGTCATTTGATGGACAGCTAGCAATAGTGGGTACTTCAAGAATTCCAAACTAAATGCCCCCTCTATCCGTGAAGATCTGGGTTAGAATTGGTCTTCAGTTACATGCTTGTAGTAAGAGATGATATTTGTTTGTCGTAAGAGGTGACTAACTGGATCGGCGGGGCCAGGCTTGTTGACTTGCTTGATGCATGTCAAAGGATCCCAATCGCATAGATCGATTCTTATGACGTCAGTCACTGGATTATTTGGTTCCTGATTATTTTCAGATCACCGCCATATAGCTGGAATATTGCTGAGTGCGGCGCTTAACAACAAACAAACAAATAAACAAACAGAAACTAGTCAGGTTTGAAGCCCTTGTCATGAGCTCTACCTGCTAGTTAGCATTATAAGTGGCATACTGCTTTTGCACAGGATGAGCAAACAGACCAGGTACTAACTTTATCATCCAAAACAGGCTTCCACAGAACATACCACATAGGTGACATCAAGGAATATGCATGACAATGCCTTGCAGACCATTGTGACATCATCAGTTACAATGACATCACAATCAAATGACCTCACTATCCTCTCAGCCACTAAAGCAGGGGTGTGTTTCAAAGTCCCAAACACTTGCAAGCGATGTACAGCGATTCGCCTTACAACAGTGCGCTAACTTTCAGCCAATTGCAAGCAAAACAGTCGCTGGCTGAGGTCGCTTCATTCTCAAACTAAAATGGAACATGCATGAAATACTCATATCCGCCGCCAATATGACATGTCCGGTTGTGTGCAATGCATTTGCTCCTGTGAACTATGTTCACTGGACCTTTTTGTAAATGGCCTGATTCCAGCACTAAACAAAGTTATTACTGGTGTTGTTTTGCCATCTGCTGTTTATGATAGAATATGTAACTGTATTTGTAATGAGTAAGGATGAGACATATGGACGAACAACTTCTTTATTACAATTAGGAGCAACGTTTCAGTGTAGGTTTAAGAATATATACAGGATAGGAGGCAGTGTTTATACAGTTGAGTAGGTTTAAGATCAGTTACACTGTTGTATTTGTAATTAGTTGTGTTATTACTTAAACAACAATCAGAGAAGGGAGTTCTTACTTAACTTTGAGATCAATGAGAGCAGGGGTCACCATGAGGTGTATTGAGAATCATCTGATGATCTCAGTAGTAGACTGGAGTCTGGAATGCTACAGCACTGGCATGATCAGTAAACAACAAGTCCAGTGTAGCTCCAAGACAGTGAGTTGGAGAGTAAATGAGTTGAGTCATTTTCCGCACATGAAAGAAATCTTCAAGTTTCACTTTTTCACTAAGATCACAGTTGAAATTCCCAGTAACTAGGACACGTTCACAATCATGCTGCTTGGAGAGATCCTGAAGTTTCTGCATGAAGCTAGTAGGTGAATGCGACAAGACACTTTTGGAGGAACAAACACACAAGCAATGCAGAACTTGTCAACAAGAAAAGGAAATGTATTCAATACTGCAAGATGACATTATGTGGCAAGTTTGGTGAAGAAATATGGTACAGTTTTCAAGATCTGCTCCGGAAACGAGGACTCCCGCCGTTTTCAGTCTAAGTCAAAGTCGTTGCCATGGAAACTCGAAAAATAAAAAAAAATTTAAATCCCAAACTATAAAAAGGCACCAGTTCACCACTAGACCTATCTATGTGCCACATTTGGTGAAGAAATATGGTACGGTTTTCAAGATCTGCTCCAGAAATGAGGACTACCACCATTTTCAGTCTAAGTCAAAGTCGTTGCCATGGAAACTCGAAAAATATTTTTTCTAAAAATCCCAAACTATCAAAAGGCACCAGTTCACCACTAGACCTACCTATGTGCCAAGTTTGGTTAAGATATCTCTCATGGTTTTTGTGTTCTGCTCCAGAAACGAAATGTGACGGAAGAACGGACAGAAGGATGGAAGGGACAGAAGGACGGACGGCACCCATTCCTATATCCCCCTTCCACTTCGTGGCAGGGGATAATAAGAAATTCTTGACTGTATCGAGGAAATGAGCAAAGGCAGCTAACACCCCATCATCCTCAGTCTGCTCCACATCTTCAAAGTAGTCATAAATTTCATCTGCTCGTCATTGAGCTTCTTCTATCACGTTCTTCATTACGCCAAGGCAACCAAGCGGTAGTTGTGCCGCCATTTTGGAAGAGTGCGCAAGCGCTTCGAACTGTTGCAGACCCCGGGATGAGCGATTGATTTGCTTTCTCTATTCTCTAATCTCTCGATTCGTGGCTTACAACGTGCCCTAGGTTAGTTCTACTTTCTACACTCAATACACTGTTTATTACTGTTTACAAAAAAAAGTGGCAAGGATGATATTGGATGATAACCAGAATCTCAATATGCCTTTTGACCTAAAACACATCAACATTCGCTTTAAAATGCTATCAACTTTTATATGATATATTTGAAATCAAAAGACACTAAAGTGAAGCTCTCTATGTGCCTCTTAATGATGCTTTGACGTCTTTCAAACATCAAAATCTCAATATCATGTTTCTTCTGAAAGCATAATTGATATCAAAAAGGTCAATCACCATCTTTTGTTGCAATAATCACTTCATAAATCAGTCCAAATGGTCGATAATAGCTTTATATTTTATCTGTGATCAGATACAGACATGCATACATGTATGAGCAGAGTTGGCGTTTTGTAAGGGTGATGCAGGGGATAAGGTGGACCACTTTCAGGGCTGAAGCCACAGAAACATGACAGGGAGTGAGTTGGTTTAACGCCGCTTTTAGCAATATTCCAGCAATATCACGGCAGGGAACACCAGAAATGGGCTTCACACATTGTACCCATGTTGGGAATCAAACCTGGGTCTTCGGCGTGACAAGCGAACGCTTTAAACTAGGCTACCCGACCGCCGCCGACAGAAACATGAGAGTGAGTGAGTTGTGTTTAACGCCGCTTTTAACAGTATTCCAGTTATATCCCGGAGTGTCAGCTTATTGTGGGAGGAAAGCCCGAAGTGATGCAGGTCTCAGACGTTTATCACTTCGGTGAAACCCACGAGCACGGGTATGGTGCTGACAAACCTAGAAACATAATCGGGGCGAACCGGGATTCGAACCCACAATCATAGGTTTCTGGCGTGCCCAAGGGACGCAACTCTGCACAGCGAGTCGTGGCGCCTTAGAGGACTGGGCCACCCGTGCCCCCGAAACATGACAGTGGAAAAGCAGGTGACCCAATGGGTAAGGGTGAAACGATACATCGATATTCCCATGCATCGCAATATTTGACATACCATGATATGATACACGATACACGTGGGCCTATTTATCGATACGTCACGATACGGAACGCAAAGTACAGTGTTCCCTCGGTATTGCGCCCTTCAATATAGCACTAACTCAGTTATGGTGCATGGTAACGCATGTCCCCTAAAAGTTACTTACAATTTTAATAATCTTAAGTTTTACACTGACACAATGTTTTTCCCCTATGTCAAAAAAAATTATCAGCTGATCACCGCAAGCATGTAACACTGGAAACACCAATCAACAAATCTGAACTGAAGTACGAAATTTAACCCCATTACTATACTATCTGGTTAATAAAGTCGATTGCTATTTCCATCTTATTTTTCGAGAAAATACACACAGTAATTTTAATCTCTACATATTAAACAATGCCTTGGAGAGCAGGAAATACAATTTAAATCGTAAATCATTGTGTCTAGTGATGTTTAACATCAAATTTCATATTTTTATTGACAAAGTTTGTTATACTTGTTCATCCACCTGAATTCGCTGAAGGGATACAATGTGGTTTTTTTAAAGAGCTCAACACTCGAGAAATCCTTTTTTAGACTATGAATCATAAACAACTACTATTCTAATCTTTTTTCAAACGTACATCACAGATCGTGTTAGGTAGGCAGAGCATGTACTGTTGTGTTGGTCATCTACCCTTTACGATTCCAACTCCGTTAAGACACGACAGCAGCCATTACTGTCCCGACAATGTCGACTTTTTAATTTTTCTGAAGACTGGTTGGTTGGTTTGTTGTTTAACACCGCACTCAGCAATATTCCAGCTATATGACGGTGGTCTGTAAATAATCAAGTCTAGACCAGACAATCCAGTGATTAATATCATGAACATCTCTCCACGCAATTTGGACGGATGACATGTATCAACCAAGTCAGCGAGTCTGACCACCCGATCCCGTGAGTCGTCTTTTACGGCAAGCATAGTCGCCTTTTACGGCAAGTATGGGTTGCTGAAGACCTATTCTACCCCGGAATCTTCACTGAAGTTGAACTATTTAGACTGTGAAGTATATTGATTATTTTCTGGTGTTTGAAATTTGAAGTTGTTATTATAAAAGAATTTTGACTTTTCCAAAATCATGGAAGGTCAAATTTTGACAGGCTTGAAGTCATGAAACTGAAGCTATTTTATTTTCTTAAAGAATAAAGATTCAAGATTCTTTACTTCAGCATTGGAGGCCTTGTGGCCCAGAGTACAATACATTTATATCTAATTTATTTGTGGATCTCACATAATTGATATGCAATTATGCAATTTGTTTTTTTGTGTTTTTCAAATTTATCTTCCGATACAAAGCAAGACCTTTGATTGTTGAATGTGTTGTAGAGACATTAGTTCAATTATTTTTTACGCGAAGGATGTTAT